AATTTTGATTTTTTTTTACCTCAAAACAAAAACTGTTGAGAAGCTTCCTATGGACCTTAATACCTTGTCGGAGTCCAATTAGGTGGGTGGACCCATCTAATTTGCCGTTAAGCATCCAATTTACGCGTTTTCGTACACGCTTCTTGTATTGGCTAAAAGATTTTGTGGGGCCTTAATGTAGCTGACTAATGGTCGTATATGGGTCGAAACGACATTTTAATGGCCATAATTCAATAAATTGGACTAATGTCGAAGGTTTTAGGACATGGCATCAAAAAATCTTAAGATTGTAGAGGAAACATTTTGGGGTCATATAATGTGTTAGGAATCATTCAAAGTTAACAGTCGGTCACAATAAAAGCCCACAATAGCCTTAAGGTTTGAGTGGGATAAGAAAGTGGATTAATAGATGGGATAAGGATAAAAATAGTGAATCCCATTGATTGATATGAGTTGGGATTAGATTGGAATAACATATAAAAATACAAAATTACCCTTACTATCCTTTCTTCACTCTCTTCTTCTTTTTATTTTATTAAGAGTATAAATGTCTTTTACCCATTAAATATAATCCCCATCCCTTATACCACCCCCCTTAGTTATTAATTTGGAGGGATAACTCCCTTTTTTTATCCCTCTCCTAACCCCCCCTCATAATCCCTATCCCTCTAAACAAACAAAGGACATGTTCAATCCCTCTTTTATCCTATCCCCCTCACTTTATCCCTCTAAACAAACACCCTCTTAAGTCATTTGGAGGAGGGTATACATAAACGGTTGAATTGATTGTTTAAAGGCAAAGTGGGTAGTTACAACCATTTAAATGCTCTCGTGGGGTTTATGGGAAAGCCTCATCCTCTTTTTCATCTGAGTTTAAAATAGGTAAAAAAAAAAATTGCTCAAAAGTAAAGGGTATAATACATGAAATTAGATGAATTTCAGAAGTTTCGTGACTTGGTGGCGAAAACTATCAGGATTGCAAGGGATGCATCCTAAGGTCATATAATATTGTTTTGAACCGTATATGATCATTAGTCGGTCATGTAAAGGCTCGTGGTGGCATTGAGTTAATTCGCACATACATTAAAAATCTCGCACCTACATTGAAAATCTCATTCTTAGTACTTTATAGACATCTTTATAGCTTATAGGTATCTTATGGTTTCAACCCACCTTATATGTCCTTAGAAGTCACTCCACGCATTCAATTTATTTTTTGAAAAAATGTCAATATTGACCTAAAATTGTGTATTATAGCCTTCAATTTTGGACATTTTTTCACCTTTTTAGACTCGGAAAAAGAAATTGACAAGATGCTACATATTGACCCTAATATACCCCAAGGAGTCCATTTGGTGGGTAAATCTATCAAATATGCCTTTAAATTGTCAATTTACCCGTTTAACACTTGCATCAATTTCATAAACTTAAGGCTACCACGGACATTTATGACAATATATAATGATCATATATGGTTCCAAAGGACATTATATGATCCAAAGATGTATCCCCTAATATCTCGAGACTTTTTGACATTGGGTCCAAAATCTTCAAAATTGTCCAAAAAATGTGAATTATAGCCTTCAATTTTTCAATTTTTCGACTTTATTTTTTACCCGAGAACAAAAACTACCGAGAAGCTTCCTATAGACCCTAATACCTTGCGGGAGTCCAATTAGGTGGGTGGACCCATCCAATTTAAGCGTTTTCGTCACGCCTCTTATGTTGGCTATAAGGTTTTGTGGGGCCTTTATGTAGCTGACTAATGGTCGTATATGGGTCGAAACGACATTTTAAAGGCTATAATTTAAGAAATTGGACTACTGTCGAAGGTTTTAGGACATGGCATCGAAAAGTCTTAAGATTGTAGAGGAAACATTTTGGGGTCATATAATGTGTTAGGAATCATTCAAAGTTAATAGTTGGTCATAATAAAAGCTTGCAATAGCCTTAAGTCATTTAGAGGAGGCGTATACATAAAAGGTTGAATTGATCGTTTAAAGGCAAAGTGGATAGTTACAACCATCCAAATGCTCTCGTGGGGTTTATGGGAAAGCCTTATCCTCTTTTTCTTCTGAGTTTAAAAGAGGTAAAAAAAAAATTGTTCAAAAGTTAAGGGTATAATACACGAAATTTGATTTTTGAATTTATGAAGTTTCGTGACTCGGTGTCGAAAACTATTAGGATTGCAAGGGATGCATCCCAAGGTCATGTAATATTGTTTTGAACCGTATATAATCATTAGTCGGTCATGTAAAGGCTCATGGTGGCCTTGAGTTAATTCGCAAATACATTAAAATCATCGCACCTACATTAAAATTATCGCACCTACATTGAAAAATATCCTAAGCATTCGGTATTCACTAGGTTTTTCTTGTAACCTTTGCCATACAGGTTTTAGGGTATATTTAGCAACCTCACCCATTCTTTCAAGTCTATGTGTCATAATCTGTGGAAGTGTGACAGTAAATTGGACAATTTAATGAGAAAGAGGACCTGCTTTGGGAGATCTTGGAGCTAAGTATGTTTGGTGGAGGCTCTAATCCAGTAATCCCTCTGGATTTCTTGTTTTGTGAAAATTATGACTCCTAAGTATAGATAGAGGATTATTCAGTATTAGTTTCTGTCATAGACTCATAGTTTCATGTCTATTCTAGGAATTTGGGTGCTTAATTGTGCCACCTCATTACCCCCTTCTTCCTGCTGCTGATTTTATCTGGATGGAAAGGGTTTATCTTAAGGGAAGAGCTCTCATGTTAATGCTGTTAATAATGATTTGCTTTAAAAATAATGATCATGGTTGCTTTTCTCTGGATATTTGGGATTCTTTGTTGATCTTATAGTGAATCCAGTTCACAAGTCTTCCTTCATTGTCACTTGTTAGGCTGCGTAATATTTTCAAAAATGTTGTGTTATGAATCTTGTGTTTATTTCATTGCCGTTGTGGATTCTTGTGGCATGCAATGATCATGGAAGTTTGTGGTGCTTTTGATTTTACTGGAACTCAGTTACATTTTCGAGTCTTTCCTTCATGTGCTTTGCTATGAGATAAAGTTTTCTATTTAACTTCTTCCGTGCTTTGCTACTCCTGTCAGAGTTTAAATGAATTAGGTGTCTTGTAATTTTTTGCTGTTGTTTTGAGGACAACCTGTCTGCCAGCTATGTGCACTCTTTGTTCATATTTATACGCATAAATTGGAATTTATAGGGGGTTTGGGTATGTGATGTTACAAGAGTGAATAAGAATGTGTTATTGTCTACTTTACCACATCATCTTTTTGGAAAGTGTAACTGGTAGCTAATTGGCTAGTGGATGAGTTTGTAGCTAAAGGTCAAAGGAAAAACACATCATGTCTGGGGGAGCACCGGAGGTTTGGAGGAGTAACATGTTATTCAGAAGTTGGTGGATGCGTTAGATGGATATGATGAAGGATCATGCTAAGAGCACATCCTTGTCATAGCATTGGAATGAAAAAGTATTGGTTCTGTATGGCTTAGTAGGCTGTTGATCAAAGCTTTTGTTGTATTTCTATGTCAAATTATTTGGTAAAAATGGGGTTTAGATGATGGTCTGATGCTTTAGAAAATTTGTTTTATCCTAACCTGTATTCAATCACTAGTGGGTGTGGTGTTACATAATGTGTACCTATGGGTAGTAAGGAAATGTACCTCCAAATTTTATAACAAAAAAAATCCAATGTCTTTTATTCATATTTATAAGCACCTGGCTTTGCTAAATTTAGTCAATGATGTCATTGGAGAGGATGTCCACTTGAGTAATGGGAGTGATGTTGACTTAAACAACATTTTGTTGCTTCTTTTCCATGTTACAGATTTGGGTTGTAGGAACTTTATCTGGGTGGGTTGCGAAGAGCCTGTCTTTTGTTTTTACTAACCTCACAAACCCTATGTTCATTCAAATTATAGCACAATGTGGTTTTTATTTTGATGGTCATTGTTAAGCTTATGATTGACTTTGCTAGGTCTAGTGTCATTGAGTGAATGTTGGCTGTATAACCATTTGCTGGCTTTCTTTCATTTGTAGGAGTGCTTTTACGTGGTTAAAGCTTGAAGGTTAGTCCATTGAGAGTGTTAGGTCTTTGACTGTGAGAATCATGAAAATATAATTTGGATTGATGGTAAAGCAATATAGCCTGTTTTTACAAATTTTAGTGAATCTCATAGTCCTCTAAACTGCAGAACACTGTTGCTCAAGGTGATGAAGACTTGCAAGAATTGTTCCCGCTTTAAAGAATTGACTTGTTTATTTAATTATTATTTTATTACTTGCTCCAGATGTGGATGATTGTCTCCTTTTCAAACAACACAATTTTAAGATCAGTCATTGACTTGTTCTGCCTGTTAATGAGGCTAATTCTTTCAAGTTTAAATCCAATATCTTTGCGGCATTGCCAATTAATAATCCTCTCAGAATGTTGAAGAAGTTTAGTTTCTTTGGAACTACTAAAAATGTTTGAGAAATTAAACAGCTCAATTTTTTTGGGCAGAAGAATTTGTTTATGAGAACAGTAATCCTCTGATCCTCCAAAGTTTTATATGTGGTCCGGCTGTTTACAAGTTGAACAAATGGCTTGAGTACAAGAACTATTATGGTTTAATAGTTGGCGTACTGGTTGTTTGGATTAGTTTGGCAAGAATTTTGAATAGGGAAATAGTCAGATAGTTTGGCTGTGAGCCCGTATCTAGTGTTTTGGCTATAGCTTATACTCAGTTGGCTTGGCAGTCATTTTGTTTACATAGAAAGACCATGGAATGAAGAATGTAGATTCATTCATTGAAAGGCTTGCTCAACCAGTTACACTGATAATCTGATCTTCTGCCGAATTTATAAGTTTTGTCGCGACTTTTGCTTAATTCTTCACATGATATTTTAGCTTCTATTTCTTCTTTCAATAGTTATAAAATGGAAATGTGATCTAGGCTGAGCTTAATTTTGTTGGAATATGAATAACCGAAGCAGTCTGTATTTCTATCTTCAGGGGAAATTCTTTGAAGGATGCCGCTTCTAATTCGTACACCCAAGTCTTTGCTCCATATCATGGATGGGCTATTAGAAAAGCTGTTGGTGCAGGGATGTATGCGTTGCCTTCTAGGCCGCAGTTGATGAAGAAGCTGAATGAGGATGGTGGGTGCACCTTCGTCATTAGTTTTACTTGACTAATACATTCATATTGTGATTCTTGTGCATGGAAGTTCAATAATTTAGTAAATGCTTAGTAATTATGTCTGATCTCCATTCTCTAGAATAGATCCCCTTAAAATATTCCCTTTTTGAAATGACTCGCTTCAAAATGAGTTCCTTAAGAATAAAATATGGGCTGTAATATCTTGAGAGAAATTTGCCTCTTGGATGAGTTTTTGTAGAGAGAGAGAATTTCTTTAGGAAGAGGGGGGGGGGGGGGGTATCCATGTATGCTTAAATAAATTTAGGATTCAAATATGTTCAAGTTGCGCAATTAGTTATTTGCTTTATATTGGTCGTTTGAAGCTCTCTGGCAGGTTTTTGTCTCACCAGAGTCGAATGCTTCTCAGAACTCACTGTGAAATGCTCTCCTAGTCTCCGAGCCCTTATGTGTCAATTTATTGGCATCTAGTAGTAGTTTAGTATCAGTTTGACATACACTTAATTTTTTATGCTTGTGCCCTTGCTTTGTAAAGTAAGAGGAACATTTTAAGGAACTTGTATGTTGTATTGTCTAGTTTGTTATCAGATGCTTATATTCTACTTGTTTATTGGTTTCTTTACAGAGGACTCTGCCCGCATCCAAATGCAAAGCTACATTACTTCTTCGGATGCTGTGATTGGATACATTGACAAGTTGTTCCTCTCGAAAGAACTAGGCATAGATTGGTGAATTGTTGGAGGAATTCATTGTATGGCTTAGAAACAATAGACTGTAATATGCTCTTAGTATTTACTATGTTTATTTATTGTTTATTACGACCGTGTAAATAAGCGTAAGCTGAGTATTCTCATTCAAGCTGGTAGGACTAATGAGGGTTGCTATAGGCCTTTGCGACTCATTAATGCTCGCTTGCAATAAATGTTGCCAAATGGCCATAGATGACCCTATTATCTTCCTTGACAACTCGAGCCCTTTTCAAGCTCTTGTCATTGGATAAAAAAAAAAAAAATGATAACAGTAGACTTTTGAACCAAAATCTAAGTTTTCAAAATCATAACTGGCTAGCTGGTCAAGCAAAATAATACCTCTGTTAACATTTACTTTATGTCTCAAATAATACCCCAAAGTTGCAAGTAAATGTTAACGGAGATAGTATAAATATATTCTTAAATATAAAATTGGAAAATTTGCAAATTGCAGCCATTTAAAGTTCATATTTTGCAAATTGCAGTCATTTAATTTTTTTTTTTGCAAATTGCAGCCCAAAAGTTCGTATAAATTGTTAATGCAGCCCGATTTAATTTTTTCATTGGATTACATGTTGGAAAATATTCGGTAAATGTTTAAGGGGTCATTTTAGTCCTTAGGGACCCGAATTGAGCTCGAAATTAGCAAAAAAATAACGTAAGTGTCTCATATTTACAGTTTCCCACAAATCGATACACTTTTATTACGCAAAACGAGATACTTGCTTTATTTTTTTTTGTTAATTCCGAGCTCAATTCGGATCCCTAAGGTTTAAAATGGCCCCTAAAACCTTAATTGAAGATTTTTCAACTTGTAAACCGATGAAAAAGTTGAGTCGGGCTGCAATTTATAATTTATATGAACTTTTGGGCTGCAATCTGCAAAAAAAAAAATTTAAATGGCTGCAATTAGCAAAATACGAACTTTAAATGGCTGCAATTTGCAAATTTTCCTTTAAAATTATTACTTGTTTGCATTTCCAATGCATTTTTTTTTTTTTTGTTATTTGCTGTAAGTTTGTACAAGTATATTAGACATGAATCTCAAAGATAGCTTGAGCTTGAACTTGAACTAAAACTGATTTGTTTATGAACTAATAAGTTCATTACTGTAAACTTTTTGCAAAATTTTCAATATTTAAGTTTTTGAATGAGCTTATTCTTGGATTTCAGTTTAGCTTTTATATGGCTTGGTATAGTTTTTTGTTGTTACGGACGTATGGTTTGTCCCTTGTGATTCACTTTCAATCTAACTCTGTATATAAGTGGTACAGAATTTGGTCATTAATAAGATAAACTTGAAGAAGATTTCAAGTGTCAGCTATAATCTTTGTAGATGAATGGAATGGTTGATATTTTGCTTTTGTGGTGGTTAATTATTGAGAAAATTTCCTAGATTTGGGTAAATTAAGATCAATTCTATTAATTAGTCACAATTTTTTTTGCAACTGATCCAATGCATAACGAAGATAAACTTGGTTCAATGTCATGATCAGTAGAGGTTGGCGAAATGATCATCTTTTCAAGAGCTGTATTATTAAACTCAGAATATTATATAAACTAAAAAAACTACATATTATATACTTCGTATGATGTAGTGTAAACAAATATCTGGAAGATAGCCAGTAAGAAGTTCCTGATATATTATTACTCTCTTCATCTTGTTTATCTCCCAATATCTTCAAGTTAAGCAGCTAAATTTGCAATTGCCAAAACCTGGTTGTCAAATGAACAACGAATTAAATTATTACGAGTATACATAATATTAGAAGTATAATAGCTATGGTTGAGATAAGAAAAACAAAGTGGGTTAATTAAGAGACATACTAGGATCGATGTCAACCAGAATAGCAGCGCCATAGATTTCACACTTGGCTCCGGGAGCGTGCTTGACCCTCTGCCAATAGTCATTGAAGGCGACGGAAGCAACAGCTCTTAAATCATTTGGTTTATAACAGGGTTGTCCTGGCTGAATTCTGTTACATGCTTCTTTTGCATTCACGCATACCCAGTCTAGCGATTTTTGTATCACTGCGTCTGGTACTTCATTTGCTATACACCAATTTTTGCATTGGCTGTAACCCCCTAAACATTATATTATATGAATATACGATATTAGAATACATTTATAATACATTCCTCGTACCACTTTAATTTGTAGTAACAATGTTAACGAATTCATAGTATCTCTTACCAGATATTTGTGACAAAAGAACCAACAAAAAGCAAGCAACAAAAGCACAACAACAGCCAGAAGTCTTCGTATTTGAAAATTGGGTTTGTTGCACAAGCTAACAATACGTCAATGTGTTACGCTCTATTATGTTGTATACAACTACGTTACAATTATCCTGGTATATATATACCTCACAAACGTACTATATGGCAATTATCTTCAAATTTAGAAATTAATGTTTAGAATCATCATGTGATATCATTACTAAGAATAATGTTGATTTGATTTCATTCTTAACAATTATATACAGTATGTATATAGATAGGGGAAATCGTTCAAGTTATAACTATTACAAGCTAATCAACCTTAATTTAGTAATTACAGATATTATACTCCATATATATTCCGATTATATGAGGAAAAAAATTAATTTTCAGTTCACTTCAGCTCCTAATTTTCTTTTCTCATAAAATATTCATTTCAGCTCCATTCAGTTCAGTTCAATTCAGTAAATGTGAACCTGCTCTTATTCTTTGTAATATTTGTTTTTACAAAGTTACCATTTTTTTTTTCAAAAGTGGTTATGGACAAATAATTGGATGCACTCAAATTATTTTCATTTTTCGATCATTAATAACTATATTAACTATATACTAAAAGATACACCAACCGTAGTGAGTAGTGACATACGCCAATTTCTGTTGTGTCCTTAGTTTTTTTTTAATTATTATTATTATTTTTTTATTTTTTATTTTTTTTTATAAAAAAAATCTTTTATAAAACTTTAATATTTTAGGAAATTATTATATACAATAATAATTGTCTTAGTTAATCGTATGAAATAAGTAAAGATCTTTTTCATTCTATAGATAGATATGCAACTACTATAGGTATGTGTTTTGGTAGCATATATTTACTTTTTTTTAGGAATGCAACATAAAAATAACTTTAAAAAATGCAATCTTTAAGAATTTTTTTTAGAAAAATATAATCTACATATAATTGAAAAGAATAATTACTAAATTAGGAAAAAAGTCTATATATATACTTCTTTAACTAATAGTAAGAAATAAAAAGGATACATTACACCAATTTTGTCTTTGAAAATTTAAAAATTACTCATACTATAAAAGACCGCTACAAGAAAACGCGTTTTTTTTAGTGAGTAATATTACCGACGGGCGTCTAATCAGATCCAGCGTGAAACAAATGTCACTGGTTCAAAATATCATCAATCCCCACTTTCAAGTGGAATATTAAGTGCACGGTATGAGAATCCACATTTCAAGATGATCCTCTAACAATACGAATCCAATTCATGATGTTAACTTATTGTGCTGATAGCAATTGTAATAATTTTAGTAAAACGTAAATCGATCAATATAGTCCACTAAAAAAATTGTAGCTAGCTAGACCGGACTTGTAGCACACATCGCTTGAAAGGCCAATTAAGAAGATGAGGGAGATGCTCGCTGAGGATTGCAACTTCTATATAATGTCTAAGACTTTGGAAGAATCTTCAAAGAATGTGGAATAATCGAACTTGCATTCTCCATGACCTGTTCAAACAAACAGAACACACAACAATCATTAAATTAGTTAGTAATAATAAAGTGATCACGAGCTTTAATTTTTTATGTTCGACCAACAATTATCTTTACACATTTATTCTTGAGAGTTGTGATGTATACGTAATTAAGTATATATGAGTTTGGAGCTTACTAGGATCAAGCGTGGTTAGCACAGCAGCTGATCCGAAGTCGCAGCTGTGAGGCAAGTAGTTGTTCTTCTGAAAGTAGCTATTGAAGGCATATGAAGCGTGGTCTTTGACCGTGTTTGGAAAATAACAAGGCTGATATTCCTGAATTTTAGTGCAGTCTGCTCCTGCGCCACATGCATAATCAAGTGCACTCTGCAGCTCAGCATCCGACGCATGCTCGTTTGCAATGCACCATACTCCTGCTTCTACCTGCAATACTGATCCACATCACACATATATATAGCACCACAGATAACGAACGGGTCAGTAATTTGCATCAGTTACAAATTCATAACAGTACATATTATTTCTACTGTCATATATATAGTGTTAAAATTAAGATGGTAGCAATATGTAACGTAAATATGTAATGGTATTATACCAGATTTGAGTGAGATTGATATCAATACAATTAGAACAAGCAAATTTCTTTGTTGCAGCAACATAGTTTTGGGAACTTGATGAAAGAGCATTAGAGCATCAACCTGCAGCAGAAAAATGAAAATACAAGCTAAGCTAAGCACATTCATACATATATACTTATAATCATGAGGGAACATGCATAAAAAATAGCCATATGCTTAGAAATATATACACTTCGTACAATCCTTTAACTCCTCGGATCGGATCCAGCATTCGTATCTTAGGTCTTAATTAGTAAACTCGAGAAGCCCATAATTAGCGGGTCTTCACTAATACAATACTAATAAACATGCATGGAGATGAGTAATTTTATTTTGTGTGCACATTAATGAATTTAAATTCACCTCCAATGAATCTTGGCATACTTGTGTTAGCTTGGTTGATTGAAAACCTATTTTAATTAGACAAAGTCAAATTCCATATTCTTTAGTAAATATGTCAATTCGGGTAAACGGGTCGGGTTTGGGACGGGTAACAGTGATTCAGGTCAACTCGGGTCAAGTCAATTCAGATTAATTTCATAACCTATGCGGGTCGGGTTTAGGTAGTGTCATGCTTGAGTCGGGTCACGTCGGGTCATACTTCTTATCAGGTTTAGGTCGGGTTAATAACAGGTTGGGTTACATTCGGGTCGGGTGAACAATAGGTCGGGTTTAATTTGGGTTTTTACGGGTTAAAACGGGTTAGGGTAATTGTCGGGTTTGAGTCGGGTTCGGTTAAAGTCAATAATTTGCAGGTCAGAATCAGGTTCGGTCATTCTCGGGTTTGAGTCGGGTTCGGTTCAAGTCAATAATTTGCAGATTCTAATCAGTTCAGGTCATTTTCAAGTCGGGTCATTCTCGGGTTCAAGTCGGGTTCGGTTTAAGTCAATAATTTGCGGGTTATAATCAGGTTGGGTCATTTCCAAGTCGGGTCATTCTTGGATTCAAGTCGGGTTATATTCAAGTCAATAATTTGCAGGTTACAATCAGGTCGGGTCATTTCCAAGTCTGGTCATATTCGGGTTCAACTAATTATAAATAGATAATTATCATTTTTATCAAGCTAATTATTTCCTTTGACTATAATATATATGGAAAAATACTAGGAAACTATAGTCTATAATTTAGGAAGATAATTATCTCCTTTGACCATACAACAAATATATACTATATTTAACTCTTAAATTTGAGGATGCTGCTCCTTTCTTTTGTTGGCCTGGACCGACTTGGTCTCCCAAGACAAAATGCTTTGATAAACAATAATAAGGTGGTCTAAATTTCATTGAAGGTGATTTGAAATCGGGTCAGGAACAATTTGGGTTGAATTTAGGCCAGGTCAATAACAAATAGTGTTAATTTTAAGTCGGGTTAGTAACAAATCAGGTTGATTAATTTTTTGAGTTGGGTAAGTAATAGCTTTGGTAAAATTTGGGTCGGGTCAATAACAAGTCTGATTGAATTTGGGTCAGGTCAATACCAAAACGGGTTGATTTCAGGTTGGGTTTGTAACAGGTTGGGTTAAATTAGGGTCAGGTTAGGAACAGGTCGGGTTGAATTCAGGTAAGGTTAGTAACCATTCGGGTTAACTTTGAGTTTTGACGGGTTAAAATGAGTTTGGGTCAATTTTGGTTCAAGTCGAGTTCGGTGCAAGTTAATTAAATTGGCCGTTGTAAACCAGTAAATCGGTGAAAGTTGTAAACCGGTAAATTGGCCGTTTAAAGGCAAATTGGATAGTTCCATCCACCCAATTGGACTCTCAGAGGGTATTAGGGAGCATGGTAACATTTCGGCAATTTTTATTTCCGGGTGAAAAAAAAGTCAAAAAATTCCAAAATTGAAGGCTAATATCCACGCTTATTAAGAAATTTAAGATGTTTCGAGGCCTAGTGATGAGAAGTTTTGAGATTTTAGGGGATAAATCTCAGGGTCATATAATGCTGTTTGGAACCATATATGATCATTATTTGTTGTCATAAATGTTTGTGGTAAGCTTGAGTTAATGAAATCGGTGCAAGTTGTAAACCGGTAATGGTTCCACCCACCCAATTGGACTCCAAAAGGGTATTAGGGATCATGGTAAACTTTGCGGAAATTTTTATTTCTAGGCGAAAAAAAGTCAAAAAATTCCAAAATTGAAGGCTAATATCCACGCTTTTAGAGGAATTTTGGAGGTTTCGGGGCCCGTTGTCGAAAAGGCTTGAGATTTTAGGAGATACATCTCGGATTCATATAATGCCATTTCGAGCCATATATGATCATTATATGTTGTCATAAATGTTCGTGGTAGGCATAAATTAATGAAATCGGTGCAGATTGTAAATCGGTAAATTGCCCGTTCAAAGGCAAATTGGATGGTTCCACCAACCGAATTGGACCCCCAGAGGTTATTAGGGACCATGGTAAACATTTCGGCAATTTTTATTTCCAGGCGAAAAAAAGTCGAAAAATTCCAAAATTGAAGGCTAATTATCCACGTTTTTTGAGATATTTTGGAGGTTTTGGGGCCCGTTGTCGAAAAGACTTGAGATTTTAGGAGATATATCTTGGGGTCATATAATGCCGTTTAGAACCATATATGATCATTACATGTTGTCGTAAATGTTCATGGTAGGCATAAATTAATGAAATCGGTGCAGATTGTAAATCGGTAAATTGGCTATTTAAAGACAAATTGGATGGTTCTACCCACCCAATTTGACTCCTAGAGGTTATTATAAACCATGATAAACATTTCGGCAATTTTTATTTTCGGGCGAAAAAAATTCAAAAAAATTCCAAATTTGAAGGCTAATATCCACGCTTTTTGAAAATTTTTGAATGTTTCGGGGCCCGGTGTCAAAAAGCCTTGATATTTTAGGATATACATCTCGGGGTCATATAATTCCATTTATAACCATATATGATCATTATATGTTGTCATAAATGTTCGTGGTAGGCATAAATTAATGAAATCGGTGCAGATTGTAAATCGGTAAATTTTCCGCTTAAAAGCAAATTGGATGGTTCCACCCGTCGAATTAGATTCCCAGAGGGTATTAGGGACCATTGTAAATATTTCGGAAATTTTTATTTTCGGGCGAAAAAAGCCAAAAAATTCCAAAATTTGAAGGCTAATATCCACGCTTTTTGAGAAATTTTGGAGGTTTCGGGGTCTGCTGTCGAAAAGGCTTGAAATTTTAGAAGATGCATCTTGGGGTCATATAATGTCGTTTAGAACCATATATGATCATTATATGTTGTCATAAATGTTCATGGTAGGCATAAATTAATAAAATCGGTGCAGATTGTAAATCGGTAAATTGGCCGTTTAAAGACAAATTGGATGGTTCCACCCACCGAATTGGACTCCCAGAGGGTATTGGGGACCATGGTAAACATTTTGGAAATTTTTATTTCCAGGTGAAAAAAAGTCAAAAAATTCCAAAATTGAAGGCTAATATCCACGCTTTTTGAAAAATTTTGAATGTTTCGGGGCACGGTGTCAAAAAGCCTTGATATTTTAGGAGATACAACTCGGGGTCATATAATGCCATTTAGAACCATATATGATCATTATATGTTATCATAAATGTTCGTGGTAGGCATAAATTGATGAAATCGGTAAATTGCCCGTTTAAAGGCAAATTGGATGGTTCCATCCACCGAATTGGACTCCTAGAGTGTTTTAGGGACCATGGTAAACATTTCGGGAATTTTTATTTTCGGGAAAAAAAAAGTCAAAAAATTCAAAAATTGAAGGCTAATATCCACGCTTTTTGAGAAATTTTGGAGGTTTCGGGGCCTGGTGTTGAAAAGGCTTGAGATTTTAGGATATACATCTCGGGGTCATATAATGCCATTTAGAATCATATATGATCATTATATGTTGTCATAAATGTTCATGGAAGGCATAAATTAATGAAATCGGTGCAGATTGTAAATCGGTAAATTGCCCGTTTAAAGGCAAATTGGATGGTTCCACCCACCGAATTGGACTCCCAGAGGGTATTAGGGACCATTGTAAAAATTCCGGCAATTTTTATTTTCGGGCGAAAAAAAGTCAAAAAATTCCAAATTTGAAGGCTAATATCCACGTTTTATGAGAAATTTCGGGGTTTCGGGGCCCGGTGTCGAAAAGGCTTGAGATTTATGCCGTTAAGAACCATATATGATCATTATATGTTGTCATAAATTTTCATGGTAGGCATAATTAATGAAATCGGTGTAGAATGTAAATCGGTAAATTGGCCGTTTAAAGACAAATAGGATGGTTTTACCCACCCAATTTGACTCCTAGAGGTTATTAGAAACCATGGTAAACATTTCGGCAATTTATTTTCGGGCAAAAAAAAAGTCAAAAAATTCCAAAATTGAAGGCTAATATCCACGCTTTTTGAGAAATTTCGGAGGTTTCAGGGCCTGATGTTGAAAAGGCTTGAGATTTTAGGATATACATCTCGGGATCATATAATGTCATTTAGAACCATATATGATCATTATATGTTGTCATAAATGTTCAAGGTAGGCATAAATTAATGAAATCGATGTAGATTTTAAATCGGTAAATTGCCCGTTTAAAGGCAAATTGGATGGTTCCACCCACCGAATTGGACTCCCAGAGGGTATTAGGGACCATTGTAAATATTTCGGCATTTTTTATTTTCGGGCGAAAAAAAGTCAAAAAATTCCAAAATTGAAGGCTAATATCCACGCTTTTTGGGAAATTTTGGAGGTTTCGGGGCCCGGTGTCGAAAAGGTTTGAGATTTTAGGAGATACATCTTGGGGTAATATAATGCCATTTAGAACCATATATGATCATTATATGTTGTCATAAATTTTCATGGTGGGCATAAATTAGTGAAATCGTTGCAGAATGTAAATCTGTAAATTGGACGTTTAAAGACAAACTGGATGGTTATATCCACCCAACTTGACTCCTAGAGGTTATCAGAAACCAAGGTAAACATTTCGGCAATTTTTATTTCCGAGCAAAAATAATTCAATATGAAAATTCCAAAATTGAAGGCTAATATCCATGTTTTCTGAAATTTTTTGAATTCGAGGCCCGGTGTCTAAATGTCTTGATATTTTAGGAGATACA